ACCATTGGGCGCCAGCCTCGAACCCGAGAGTCACTTCAAGACTTCAAGACTTCAAGACAAGACCTGACCTGACCTGAACTGAACCGAGGAGCGTAAAATGGACACTGCGTAACTCCTCATTAGCACAGCAGTTGGGGGGTCGATGGAAAATTTTTGTACTTTCAGTATACCAGTTTCCTATGGATCAGTCTTTTAGCTTCGAAGAAGATCTCGCGCTCCCTTTCAACCCCCGTAACTCTTACGAACTGTATCCCACAAGTGTGAACACATTCGAGCGGAGATCAATGTTCTCAGTTGATCATTCTGAAGAAATACATTCAGGGCATTACATGGTCAGTAATATTGACGATTCTGAGAGCGAAACAGAAGAAAATGTCCTTTGTCATGATGAGACATCAAGAGACGCGATGGAAACCTCAAGTTCCAAAGACAAAAATTGGCTAGAATTTGAAGATCTGGCGTCGCTCTTCCGCTACCTCGAAATCGCCTACACTGGACAACTTACCAGCCCAAAGTGGAATCAGTTCCGTGGCCTTCGATTTGCTGTAAAGAACAAAATACGGTTGAATAACATTATTTGGAGAGAATACCACATGCAGTGTAAGTTTTTTTTCAATTCCTTTATTTTCTGTAGTCATTAAAAGGGTGAGGCCGTATATTGTGCAGTTCCAAGCCCCACTAACCGAAAATCATTCAAAACCAGAGGTAAATATGAATAAAAATAAGCTCATTTCCGCAGGCTATTGTAATGGAAGGGAAGTATTGGAAAAGACGTATAAGCACGGTCTCTCGGGAATACCGCAGCTGGAGGTTATTCGCAAAAAATAAGATTCATGGACCCAATCAAAAGCACATTATGGCGTGCGTGGAAGACCTTCTAGGACCCCCGAATTATTCGTTTCAAAAAGCTCAAGACGAGTTGACAGGAAATTTGCCCTTTTACGAAAACGAGGATTGCACGTTAAGCCCTGCAGCGCTTTTGGATGATATTATGATGGATTTCGATGAAAATTTGGATTTGTTCTTTGAACAACCGTTAACGTTCCCCAATCCAAAAGATCTTGCTTGCCTCGGGATAGGTGATATTATGCAACCGGGTCTCCTGCAGTTTGAACCAAACAGTTCCAGCCCGACGGAAACCGTTGGTTCTCCCTTAGGTTCTGCTACAGGACACCCAAAACTGGGTAAGCGCGGCGTTCCGGAAAATCGAGTGTCTCAGGATTTACTTCTTCATTTTGGTCAACGAGGGTCACCCTCAGTCGGTCAAGGATTATCTAATATAAACAAAAACGTACTGCAGACCAATGTCAGCAGTCGGGATATCCCAATGAAAGGCCTCTCTGAGGGACGTAATAAGTCTGAACCGTTTAAACAGAAGTCCTTCACGCGGCCAGTGAACAATCGCTTATCCGATATGTCTGCCACTGGAGCTCCCGTCAGTTCAAATACTCTCAGCTTCCAGCCGATGCCTGGAATTCCTCAGAATTCTGTGAAGGAATGTTTGAAAGATACCTCAGTACCTCCTCACGTACAGGTAGATGGTGCTTCTAGTCGAACATCCACCGCCAAACACTCAATTGGTCAGTCACTTGGTTGCATTAACCGTCGCTCACACACCGTGAAGCATTTTCCTACTCCTGCTCTACATAGACATCGAGGCTCTGTTCCGAATGCGGCACATCCAAGTGATAAAACATTGAAGCAGCTATTTCGCAACGGTTTTATGGATTCCATTTCATTGGATCAAGATCGTGTTGAAGGCAATTCAAGCTCACCTGCTCTCCTTAATGCCTTACTCCACGGTCCTGAAGTACAGAAGAAAACGAGTATCACACCTACATTTGAGGGAACCTCGACGCGAGCGGATGATGCCCAGAACAGTTGTTCTGTCCCTCTGTTGTGTTCAGCATTAACAGCACCTTTATCATCACAACCCAGACGTCAACTGGCTCTTGTTGCTCCCAGTCGTCCAAACAACTTTCTTCCGCCCCCTCAAAGTACTGAAAGTCAGAGACCCGTACTGTTGGGACCAGCTTCCTGCTTGATTGCTGACTCACTTCGGCCGCCGGAAGAAATTCGTAATATGTCTGTGGATGCCGTGAATTTCAAGGTATGTTTCTCCATTGTTCCCACGTTTCATCCTCATTTTTCGTATCTCTCATAATTACAGTTACTTTATTTAGGCTCTTTTCATTCTTGATCTAGAGCCTTTCTGTTTTTGCTGTAAAAGGGAGATTTTGATCTTTTCAAGGGCCTGATGAGCGCCCTATGAAAACTATAGCTCATTACAGTTTCCATTCATGTGCCAGTGAATTGGTGTAGGATCGAGCCAATGTGTAAAGTTTTGCACATCCTAAAAGAGCATAAATATATTAAGCAACGCACATCATTTCCAGCTCGGGGAAATTGATTTTGATACAAACAAGCCTCGAAATCGGTGAGACCGTAAAACCGGTCGTGTGCTTCCTGGAAATTTTGTCCAGTCATTCATATACCATTCATCGTGAATGCATGCATCTATGTGATTGAGTAGTAGCTGGTCTCAGACAGCACACCTTGGCTTTGGTGGTGGTCACGGGTTCACTTGATCAGGGAGGTTTAATGGGCAGCTTGGACGTTTGACCCTAGTCAAACTGCGTATCATCCGATGAGCTGGATACCGACCCCCAATGGAGAGCGGTTTTCACGCCGCCCCCACTGCCTTGATTTTCAGACTTTGGCTAGCCGAATGCTCTGGCTGAGTGGGCTTTTACTGGTAAACTTGCTGTTTGTTATCGTCTACGGAAGTGAACTCGGATGAAGGCGAAAGCAAATAATCAAATAAATCTAGGTAACTAACTAACCGACCTGGCGAGAGTGAAATCCATCTGGTGTCTAACCATGTCTATGTTTATCTGTTTAACACCGGCTTGCGGACAACAATGGAGCTAATGCCAGAACAATAATAATAACAATAACAGGAAATAGGTGGATTGGGATACAAAACAGAGTGAAAAGGTGAAACAGTCTCTAACCATTGTGCCTGATGATGTGATGCGAACGCAATTTATTACAAGACGTTCCTGGGGAGTAGCTGGGAGTAGTGAGATCTGTTTTATCAAAACAATCACTTTAGACCGTACTGGGTTGCTGGCTAGAGACAATAAATTTCGTACCAGAGAACCAACACCCGCAGTGCTTTGGTGATCCTCTGTGATTGGGGGCTGTACGGTTGTAGTTTGATTGTGTATCTTGCCTTGGTTATGTTGGTTGAATCTGCCTTTTCTCCTCAGATAAACTTCCTAGTTTCCTTCACAGAGTTGGGTTGCTTTTTGTCACAAATCAACAATGGTGGGGGTCGCCTAGTCCATTGCTCATCACAATAAAGTGTGTATCGATAAAATTGAATTTGTTAAATGTCTAGCAAAGACCAGCAAAATTTGATTTGACATGCGGCGTGTAAACCTTAAGTATAGCGCTGTCATGTCCACCGAGCTAGATTGCTGGACTTAAAACTACGAAAGCCCCTATACGCCCAAGCGTCTTAAACAACATTACTGAAGAAGCCTTCTCATTTCATTCACGTAACGGTTTTTCATAGCAAAAAGTGACGGAAGGCCAGTACCCGGAGCGACGACTGGATTGAACCACTCAGGGCGGTGGTGGTACAGTGATTTATTCGCTGTCAGCGGCATGCTTTGTACTCTATGGTTCGAGGTTCGGACCTCGCCACCGCCACCCAACTTTAGTGGTGGCAGATTTTCTATCATCCGATATAATACTACGCCTAAGCTAGCCTTATGCAATTCTCCACTCCAAGTTCCGGGTCGCCAGTTTCCATCACTGAACAGCAGATCTGCGCGACTACTGGGTCTACTTCGTTTCTTATTCATCATATAACGATGTGTAACAAAACAAGATAGTTGGCCAAAACCCCTTATTCTAAACCAAATAAGAAAAGGTGTACAAAATATACTCACAACTTCCTGATCACTGGCATAAACGTGTGTTGAAGTGTACTGGGCACTTTAAACACTTGACTCGATCCAACGGGAGAATGATCCGATTTGCTGGACACCGGCAATCGATAAATTGTGGTTTTCAC